TAAGCACAGATGTTTATTATTTTTTAAATAAATGTTGTGGAGGCGACTCTACACGTACGGTGATGATGACAGTCTACGAACGGAATTACGGAAGTCTTCTTTAATGTAACTAAGAAACTTTGCATTGTTCACCAAAAAAATACTTTGCAATAAATATGAATATTAGTTACTATGATATTTAATGTGTTATATATTTCTATACACTTCTTTTAATGCTTTTATTATTGAAATAGGTATTGTTGGTAGAAGGTTGATTATGAAGTTTAAATTTTCTTTCTTCTGTGGTGAATTGGCAGGATGCATGTTGCGTATGTTCTGACCTTTGAGAAAGATTCAATGGAGGAAGGGATTTCAGGCATTTCGTTTCCCCACAATAAATGAATTTGGTGAATATCAAAAAAATGGAATCATTCTTTAATTAAGTAAACCACCAACCAATATTGGGTATATGGGTATTAGGGCTAATGTAAAATGTGATGAATAAATCCTATCCATATAATCTATTTTTAGTTGTCAACAAATTAAAATTACAAACGTTTGCTTGAGAAAATAAAAACACAATGATGAGAAAAAAAATTGGAGAAAAAAAAAAACAGTTATAAATGAATTTATCCTTTTTATATATAGGTATAGATTAAGAGAAAAAGAAACATGTTATATGCTTCTTAATATTAAAAAAAAGAGGTTATTAAGAGATAATGATAGTGAAAAAATATATATAATTGTAAAGTATATAATAAATTAATAAATGTAAAGATGAAAGCTAGTTACTTAAAAAAAAAAAAAAACTTTATATATAGTAGTATAGATATGTTTTTCATGGTTTATATATATAGCATCCACAATATATATTATTTCTTATATATTTGTGTCTAAATGAGGCAAAACGTACGTGGCAGATCGAAAGCAACAAAGAATGCTATAATGAAAAAAAGAGGAATTATATGTCTTACATTTCTTGTGAAAGCGTAAATACCGTCCAATAAATAAAGGCATTATATTTACGTATATTTTATGTAAAAACATAAACTAATATCACCTACTGCAATCTTGTATATGAATTTTAATAGTTTTATTGAATCATATATAGTATTTTGTTTAACGATCATATATTTTAAAATAAAATGTCTTTACTTCTTATTTTTAAATTTTTTTAAATTTTATAGTGTGTTTCAATATTTTTTTTAAAAAAATTATCAATAATTAAAAATACTCTTATTTACAACATGAATTCTTTATTACAATTTTTAAATATATTTTATTAATAACTTATAGTTATATAAAATAAATATTTGTATGATATAATACACATGTTAAAATACTGGTTTTTAATATACTTCAACTTGCGTAAAGAAATTTGAATAGTCTGATAAAATGTATGAATTGAAAAATGTAATTTTTTTAAGTACAGTGAAAAATGTAATTTAAATTTGAATATAGTAGTTAGAGACTTACAATTGTCAAATGGCTCGGTCTAAATTTCTTAGAGCTGGGTCAGTTATTTTGTAACCCAATATAGCCTTTGAGACATGTCAAATTAATCTATTTTATTTTATTTAAGCTTTATAAAAGAAAAGGAAATAGAACTCAAATAGGCTAAGGTGGTCAAAAAGCTCAGTATGAAAATCATTCCTCTAACTTTACTTGATTTTTGTTGGGCCACATTTTTTGATCTCAGTCCATTGAGCCACTGGGTTAGTCCATTGGACTAAGTCTTTTTTTTTTAAACTTCTAATAGTGTTCAGATTAATCTAATTATAATTTTTTTTTGTTAAGTATAACATTTTTAAATGGGTTAGAATTAAGAAAATCCAATGTATTAATTTTTTGAAAAAATTATAGGAAGTAACTCCTGATATGTAGAAAATTTTAGCTCTAGTGTAAATTAACATTAGTACCATAAGAAACTCCTCCACAATAATTTAAATTATCCATAAGACTTGATTACATTTTTATCATTTAGATTTTAGGATTAGTAGATTTTTTCATCTAACTTATGAAATTATACATTTAGCAATCTAATTTTTAAATTTTTATATATTCTGTCACCCTATTAATGATTATTCTCGTTAATTAATAATTGATGTGATATATTGACCAGCAACACAATATATTAATTACTGATATGATACGTAAATTGTTAATATGACATAACATTGATATGTCACTTCATTAATCTAACTTGTTGAATGTAATAAGTTAATTGTTGATGTAACATATTATATTATTTCAATATTTATGTGTTACTTCAACAATTTATGTCAACGGTTAATATGATACATTAACTATCGGCTAATAATATTAAACAATCAACTAATAAAATAATAAAATATAAAGAAGAATAATTTGGCCGCAAAATGTACGATTTTGCAAATTGGTTGACAAAATCTATGAAATCATAAAAAAATGGGTCATAAAAAATGCAATTAAGTTTATGTAGGAAACAATGGTAGTACATCCAACTAATGGCTTGAGGAGACTTTTGAAATAATAATGAGATCACATCTTATAAATCTTTTTTAAAAATATTATAATAAATTAATAATTTAGCCATTAAATAAATTTAAATTTGGATATAGATAATTTTTAAAAAATTCTTATATATTAAGCTTAATTGTATTTTATATTCCAAAGCTTTTGCTTTTTAACAAATTTTGTTCCCAAGTAAATTTTTTTTTTTGCAAATTATGCTCTTTAACTTTGAGATTTTAACAATTTGTGCCTCATATCTGTTGTCCATCAAAATACTAGCTAAGTGCTCACATGACATGTTGGAGGGGTACAAATTGCTAAAGCCTTAAAGTTTGAGGGAAAAATTTTGTCAAAAAACAAAAGTTTAGGAGTACAATATACTATTATCAATTATGATTGGACTATCTCGACACACTTCATATTATAGACTAGTAGGCAAATGGACTATCTGAGCATGTACATAATCAAAATGTGTTATCTGAGAAGTTTTTGTATAATTAAAATTATTTTTTTGTAATCAACTTAATTTATGTACTTAGAATAACTTGGTATTTTCCTTATCAAAGACTCGTATCAAACATCAAATGTAATCAGTAATGATTATGGTTGCGTACAAAAATACATTATCTAATAACATGACAAAATTCTCACAAAATCTCGTGATAATGAAGGTCCAAGAAGATATAATAGTTGGATATAAAGTCTTCATAGTAAAGATAAACATAATATACTTTTAAATGTTATAACTTTAAACAAGTGACTAGATTATCTCTAGTGCGTTTTCTAGACTAGAATATTTGATACCTACATAAAACGTGATAAAACTTATCTTAACCACACAAATCAAGAGTCTTCACTTTTTCTCTAAGTTATAGGATGATTGTTTATCCACTTTCTTTCTCCATTAGAACATTTTTTATGCTTTGTAGTCTTCTTTAATGAGATTTTATCATTTATTTTTTTATATTTTTTTTCTTCTAATTTTGACACCAAACTTCATGTTAATAGCATCAAATCGGTGCTTGTTTTCATTATAATAAACTTTTGTTTTCCCCTTTTTAATATCATTTTCATGCTTTTACTTATTGATTTAAACAATTTATAATGGTGATTATATTATTTTTTACATATGTTGGTTTGCTAGTGAAACTCCGAGAGTATGTGGAAATCCAATAAAAATGTCAGACTAATGACTGTATCAAATGTGCGGTTAAGGAGTAAAGAAGTCAAAGGTGTTTAATAAGAGAAAGAATTTAAATGTGAAAAAAATAATATATGTATTATTTTATTTGTCACACTTAAATCACCTTAAAAAAAAGTAATTGTTGTTGAAGTTTATTTGACATTTTGAATAATTTTTTTTCTTAGTTATTTATTATCCAATAACTTATTATTTGTTACTTTTTTTATTGTAAATTAGATGATTAAAATTGTATAAAAAAAACGGCAAAGTTCACTAAATTATTGTCATGCGAAAAAACATTCAACGTAATTAATAGATAATTGTGTTTTTTCAACATATTGTAAGGAGTTTAAATCCTAATTATGTGCATACATGTTGTAAGGAGTTTCATGTGCATAGAAAAGATTTAGTTGGAAGAGATGAAATTTATTTAGATGATCTTCACGTTTAAAAAAAGAAAGAAAAAAAAATCTCTAATCACGTGGGAGAATGTAAGTCGCTAATTATTATAGTTGTTGTGAGATATTCTCGATCATATTACAGAAATGCCTTGCGGATATTTTCTGAAATGAAAGATTCGCACTTGTTCATGATGTCGTAACTTACTACACATTTATTGCAACTTATGCTGCTGAGATATTTCTGGTGAAAAAGAAAATTCATGTCACTGAATTGTTGGTTAATTTGAATGAAACAAATTTCGAATTTAATTTTTATAAATAGAAAAATATGACTATGGGAGGAAACTAAACTCAAGACAATACATAAATATTTTTTTTTACAAAAATTAATCTTAAAAAATCGATGAACACTCTGTATCAATAAAATGCAAACCTCTATTAATATGCTTAAAAAAATTACGTGTTTCCGTTGATATTAATATTAAAAAATAGATATTAAATTATTAATTCTGACAATATGTATAGTTTATTACAATCACAATATGAAAATACAAAAATAAATATGTTCACATATGTTCAATTTTTAACGACATCATTAGAAAAAGACAGATTTAGTTTAGATATAGTTAGGATCTATGTTTTATAAGAAAAATTCGTGCCTTGGAATTATTAATGACAAATCAAATGTGATGAAATCAAATATACACATAACACGATATACAAATTACTACGATTTTAATCATTAATTGTTAATTAATAATAATAATTATTGTACCACATCCTCTAAAGGTTTTGTTATAAAAAAGTAAAATTTTATTTTAACAATATCTTCCCGTAAACGTAATAAAGATTAGAACCTGTATTGTATCCATTTTACAAAGGCCCAAAACTGTAAAAAGCCCAACCCATTACACATAGAAAGTTATTGAAAATAAAGTACGAGCTTACGACACCAGAAATCTTCGTTACCAAAAGGTTGAAAAAGTTGAGACGAATGGCGACTCTGGATTCCGACGTGACGATGGTTCCGGCCGGCGAGCCTTCCAGCAGCGCCGGTCCTTCTTCCAAGAAGCCGAAGCGATTCGAGATCAAGAAGTGGAATGCCGTTGCTCTCTGGGCTTGGGGTGCGTTTTTCTTGACCCTCTCCCAAACCCTAATTTCTTTTTCCTTCTTTTAATTTTTGTTCATTTCTTTGCTGTTATTGCAGACATCGTTGTCGATAACTGCGCCATCTGCCGGAACCATATCATGGATCTCTGTAAGCGTTTTGATTCAATATTTTCTGTGGCTCATCGTTGTTTCAAGAGAATGACCTAATTCGAGCTTCATTGTTGGTTTAGGTATTGAGTGCCAGGCCAACCAGGCTAGCGCCACCAGCGAGGAATGCACCGTGGCTTGGGGTACGCTGCAAAACCCTTTACTATGCATTGTTGTTGATTTTGTGTGAAATTATGTTCTGGAAAAATTTGAGTGAATTACTGTGTTATTGTGTGTTCATTCATTTGTGAAGAAAGTTATTGACGAAGATTTTAGGATTATTTATAAAAAAAAGTAAGGGGCTATTTGAGTCAAGGTCTTGAATTAATATGCATAATAACAAAACATGCTTTGTTCCTCTACTATGTGTGCTGTGAGTGTGACTGCTCGTTACTCCGTGATTTTACTCTGTTGGTCTCTCATTGTTTCTTTGTTTTTCTCGCAGCCAAGATACTCTGCTTTTCCTCGTTTTTGATTTTTTTAATTATTTTTCCTATTCAACTTTTCAACCAATGCATATTCAGATTCTTAAGCATACTGTAGATCATAGATATCATCACTAAGTGTTTTCTTTTTATTTGGTAGCACAATCTTCTTGATGCAACTGCCACTTCGAATTTGTGTGGGTTTGAAATTGTATGATTGGACATCATGTAATATGAACATCCCTTCCCCCACTCCAATGTAACATAATGTAAAGTTGAATTTTACACTCAAACAACCATGCAAGTAGTGCATTCATAAGTAAAAACATAATGTCGATCATAAGTAACTAATGTTAGTTGAAAATCCATATGTTCAAGTCTCATTATCACCTAATATCCAAGGTTGTCAAACTCGAGAGTCTATGTAAGACTCTTGAAGCTTTTCTCGACTAGACTTGTAAACTTGTAAGAGTTTAACTCTTTTAAAATATAATATTAAATAAATATTAGTGATATGTATGCATAACATAATACTTTCAACATAACAATAATTCAATATATCTACACCATAATAAAGCAAAGTAGCAGCATACTACAATAATAAATTGTGACAGTATATTAGTAATAAATTAGATCAAACTACATAAGCTCCTAAAGTGAAAACATTTCAAAAAGTAAGTTAATTTCTTCAAATCATTTGAGCCATAGTAAAATACTAAAACTGTGGGGTCAATTGCGGAGTGGGGAATTACATTTGATTTCAAATTTGCTAATTTGCTTTTTTACTCAAGCCTTAGTAAAATACTAACACCGAGGGGTCAATTTGTGGAGTGGGAGTGAGGAATTATATTTGATTTCAAGCTCTCTAATTGGCTTTTTGACTCGAAAATTTATGCAAGTTTACATGGGTTTATAGAGTTTACCCAAGTTTATCCAGTTGTATCCAGTAAAGAGTTTGATAGTGAGATAACTCGTTTTCTTTACCTAGAATTGTAAACTCGCAAGAGTCTAATGATTAAACTGAAGAGTTTGACAATCCTTCAAGGCATATTTACATATTCAAGCTTGTCCTCCTTAAAATCATCATGCAGAACAGGTGTTCTCCCTGACCATATGACCTATTTTGATGGCAACATTTCATGATAGGCCTTGTGAGACATATTTACATATTCAGATACTAAGGGTGTGGTGCAGTTATGAGTGAGACAATGCATTTGGCTTGGCTTGCAAATTGTGATAGTGCACTACATCTGTATAATATTTTAATTTTATATGAATATATACTCTATTCACAGTGTTTTGGGAAACACATTTGGTGGATAAGAAATCACGTCCAATCAGAAAAACAAATGTGCAAGGATAACTGGCTGTTTCTGTTTGGACATGAAAATCCAAGTCGATGATGCTGAACCAAAGACACAGTCAATATATGTTGCAGACCGTTAATTTTTTAAAATACGAACACGTTTGGATTTTGTATTGGATAGTGGATACTGCCTGTTCCCTTAGTACGGAGCAACATGGGCTAGAATTTGTGTTGAATGCAAAAAATAATGCATAGGTCATTTATCCAACTATGTATGCTTCTCTAGTTATGTTTTAGCTTTATCAAAAGCAGGATTATTCTAATTGTTGCTGACACTGGCTGGTATCTTATACAGGAGTTTGTAACCATGCTTTTCATTTCCATTGCATAAGCCGATGGCTCAAGACTCGTCAAGTATGCCCTTTAGGTATGTGGGACAAGTTCCTTTTCCACCTCCATATCTGTTTGGACTTCAATGGATTAATTAGTGCTATTCTCACCGCTTGTTTCATTGCTGGTATAGATAATAGCGAGTGGGAGTTTCAGAAATACGGTCACTAGATCATTGATGCGGCTGTGCTGGTTCCTACTTGGAGAAATTTGGACTGTCATTTCTGTCTAATACTTATAGATCTACGTTAATGTCTTTTGTTTGCCTATTGTCGATCACATCATTATTCTAAAATACTAATGTGGCAATATATCATCGGACGTTTCTTCTGCCTTTAAGGCTTTTGAGGATGATGATGTAGGTTTCGTCTTTTGCACACTTAGTGCAATGGAATGGACTTTTGTTTTCTTCTTGCTTCACTCAATGACACATGCTTTATGGAAATATATTATCCCATAATGTACTGCAAAAATATTTACGAATAGGATATAATAACAATCCTATGCCTTCGTTATACTTGTTCTTAAATATCCAATGAATCATACAAGTATCAAATGCTTTAATTGCCAATCTTAAGTTACGGACAAAATTTATATAGTTTCTAGGTCTTGGTTGTATTGTTTTCTAATTATAATTCTAGTTTTACTTGGAATTTATGTACAGTTCCATAGTCGTTTGTATTGTTTTTAAATCGGGATTGGAGTTTCACTGCAAACTTTTATTGTAGATTATGTGGGTAAAATTTCAATTTTCATTGGAAAATATCACGTACTAGTTGTCGACATAAGTTTTGTTGTGATTTAAAACGAAGTAGAAAAATAAAATCCCTTTAGTTTGTAATACAGTTTAATGAAAAATGACGCGGGAAGGATCACCTTCCTAGTTGAATATAACACCCAGACGCACCCCAAAGATCAACAGCCGATGTAAAGATCAATGGTCTTCATTCAGGTAACATTATACTGGTTGTATTTTATGCATCCAATGCTAAAAGGCAATTGCTTGTATTATTTTTGAATTTTACGTTAAAACTCAGTTCGTTGAAATAACTTCATGCATGTGGTTGGGTGTTAGATCTCCGAGTTGTGGGTAGAAAAAAATATTCGTGAGGAAATGGTGTATTTTAAATAGATTTTATTGCTTCAAGAGACTAGTTATTAGAGCAATTCTAATGTAGTTTATATTGGTTTTTAAAATTAAGCGATTTTAGTTAGATTAAATCTGATTTTATTGTTTGTGTAAGTAACTGCAAAAAATGATTGGTTGAGGGTCCGAAAGAACAAATGGTTTGATATTGTTTTTTGAAATTCATGGTTTGGGCTTCATTCCGGTTTGGGCATGATATGACTAGAACTTTATTTTTAAATTAGCCAATATGGTGTGATAAATATTCTTGATTATAAAAAGAAATAGTAATTTGTTGAAGGGAAATGGAGGAGAGAATGAAAATTGGGGTGAATTTTTTTTAATTTTTTTAATTTTATAATCTTTTACATGTCTTATTTAGTTCAATTTTTTAGGTAAAAAATAAATAATTTTTTTCACTCATTTTGTAATAATCTAGTAGGTCATCGTACTTATTATTGAAAAATTAATGTGAAGCGGAACTGAAAACATTATAAAGTAAAATGTATGAAATATACACGACATATAAAATCTAGTACATATATTATATACATCAGAATTAGACAACTACAAAATGTGCTTTATACAATCAATTGAGGTTCTAAAATATGACCTCACTAGAAAAGTCATACCAAACAACTGCGATCTTGTTAGTTGACCACCTTATCCTGCTCAACTTGTATATCAAGTATGGTCATCGCAGTCTCAATAACAAGGAAAAGAAGAGTAAACTTATAAAAGAAACAATATACAACAATACAACTAAAATAACAAAAAGCATAGATTGACAATAGTACAACTTATAGCTTACAAAATGTTCAACATTTATTAACTTATTCTTAATCAACATCTCAACGTACATATATTAACAACTAATGTGTCAACTAAGGAGATATCCTACAATTGAGATGAGTAGTTTAAGTGACTTGTCCTTGTCAAATCATAGTGTTAGACCTATCTTAGCTTGATTAGGTATAGGATAGTGTTAGGCCTCATAAGAGAGTTAGATATAGATAACTTAGTTTGATTTCTTAGACTTTTTACTTAAACAAGGAACTATGATATTACGTCAAGGTAGAACAGTTTAAGTATAAGCCTACCACGACATTAGCTAGCTTAATTAAGTCACTTATGAGATTAGTCCACTGACTATCCTCCAAATACCACAACCCTCCGATACTAAGTTAGGGATTTTAACTCCCAATTTCGTACTTTACTCGGTTATTTATTTAATTAAGATATGATTCGACTACTTCCATACCAAAGCCACAAATCATAGAAGGAAACAACTTAATTCACCTCTAGCATCTATATATCTTAACTTAGACATGTATCTCAATCACATGTTCACAACTTTATCACTTTATACAACATATAACTTTACAATTTTAAACTTTCATCAAATTAATCAACAACATACAACTCAACATCAATAATATTCATATCAATTATCATCATCTAACATCATTTAAATGTCAACAATTCATTATATAATAACTTATCAACCATTCATAGCATATCAATGTTTATTATAATTATCCTACATCATACAACATGCAATAGACACAAGTATCATGCAACATGTATCTCAACATACAACTTATAAAAAATCAACTATCATTCAATGACAATCTTCACATAAAATAACGCACAGGAGGTCCTATTACTCCTATCATGTTCATCCTTATCTCATATAAAATACAAAAAGATTTTCTACAACTCTCATGAAGACTCTAAGTTCTAACCCCATCATCTACTATATTAAAAATTACAAAAACTACAATAGTTTTCCTAAATGCTGATAACTTGACCTTTATTCACTAAAAAGTTCATAATTAGAGTTCTAGACCTCTTTTTTAAGTGATTTCAAAGTCATTGGAAAACTAACATTCAAGGATACAACTTTCATGAAGATCTCAAGACCAAATTCAGTCATTTACCTCGTTATAGTGCTCAACCTGGCGCTCTAGCGCTATATTTTTGTTGGCGCAATTTTCCCCATTGCTGTTGTAGTACTCAACTGCTGATATAGTGTTGGATCACTACCAGACCTCATTCTTCACTTCTGTAGTGCTCATTTTTCTGTTACAATGCTGGATCTATTTGAACTTTTTATTTGGGGGTATTTTGAACGCTCTAACGTCAAAACTAGCGCTCCAATGCTATGTGCAGAGTTCTTTCCGCATATTCATGGTTTCTCCTTCTTTTCTTACATGCGCTTCACAAATTTTCTTCCTAAACACCATTTGCAACTCATTTTTATCTCCATATTCCTACATGTATTCAGAAATTTCATAAAATACCACACGTTAGAGTTATACTAGTGTGAGACTTGTCGGTATGTTACAATTTAAATTTATAATTCAAAATATTAATTTCTAAGTAGCTATCAAGAAATAATTTTATAATAAAAAATAAAATTGACAATAATTTGTATATCATAAATGTTAATTTTAATGAAACATATATACTATAATTAGATAATTAATTCTTTCATAATATGATTTTAGATGATACTAATCAAAATTACCTTAATTATATAATTATTATAATTAGAAAACATACATGACAAGGATTTATGTGTCATAAATTTTAATTATTATAAAATATATTATCATTAATGTTGATTGATTCCTTATAATATAATTTATATGATTATTAAATTCTTTTATTATACCATTAATATTTGAATTTCTATGGTACATGTCATCCAAACTTTTGCATAATACATGTCATTCAAAGTTATTTGTGAGTTTTTTACTCAAATAATACTATTTTAATTTTTTTTTTACCTAAATAGTAACTGTGTAAATTTATTTCTCCAACTAGTACCAATCATTGTTCACGTTCGGAACGGGCCGTTATGAAATTAGAACGGGTCGTTCTGAATTAAAAAATAACACATGGAAAATAAATCAGAACGGCCCGTTCCAAAATCAAAATTAGCACATAAAAAGTGGAACCATAACGGCCCGTTCTAACCTACAAATAATTTTTTTTTTTCGATTTTTACTTATCAAATACCAAAACTCAGAAACTAACATCAAATAATTAAATTTATTGAATATTAACATTATAAATATATCTAAATAAATTTATTAAAATTCAATACAACAATAAAGATCAATGGTGGCAGAAATTGATTATGTTGTTCTCTAATTTCCATTTCTGTTTTAATCCTGCTGGACTTTGGCCGACTCTTGAAAGTTCGCTTGAGTTCTGGATTTGACCACAAAGTTAGACCAGTGTAAATAGGCCAATAATCTTCATGTCGGAGCTCTCCAAATGAAATGTTTGACCCGATGGGAGATTTACTGTAAGGCTAAATGAAATGTGGTATGATTGCGACAAGTTCCAGAAAGGTATACGAAGGACAGTTTGGAAAGCTACGACATGAAGATTACATCCGAGAAAAGTTTGACCCGCTGGGAGATTTATAGTAAGGCTAAATAAAATGTTGTATGATTGCGAAAAGTTCCAGAAAGGTATACGAAGGATAGTTTGGAGAGCTCCGACATGAAGATTACATCCGAGAAAAGTTTGACCCGCTGGGAGATTTACAGTAAGGCTAAATGAAATGTGGTATGATTGCGGCAAATTCCAGAAAGGTATATGAATGACAGTTTGGAGAGCTTCGACATGAAGATTACATCCGAGAAAAGTTTGACCCGCTAGGAGATTTACAGTAAGGCTAAATGAAATGTGGTATGATTGCGGCAAGTTTCAAAAAGGTATACGAAGGACAGTTTGGAGAACTCCGACATGAAGATTATTGGTCTACTTACACTAGTCCAACTTTGTGGCCAAATCCAGAACTCAAGCGAACTTGCAAGGGTCGGCCAAAGTCTAGCATGATTAAACCAGAGATGGACATTAGAGAACAACATAATCAGTTTCTGCCATCATTGATCTTTATTGTTGTGTTTAATTTTAATAAATTTATTTAGATATATTTATAATGTTAATATTCAATAAATTTAATTATTTGATGTTAGTTTCTGAGTTTTGGTATTTGATAAGGGAAAATAAAAAAAAAATTTATTTGTAGGTCAGAACGGCCTGTTCTGAAAGTAGAACGGACAGTTCTGGTTTCACTTTTTATGTGCTAATTTTGATTTTGGAACGACCCGTTCTGATTTATTTTCCATGTGTTATTTTTTAATCCGGAACGGCCCGTTCTGATTTCAGAACGGCCCGTTCCGAAATGTGAACAATAAATGGTATTAGTTGGAGAAATAAATTTGCACAGTTATTATTTAGGTAATTTTTTTAAAAATAATATTATTTAAGTAAAAAACTCGTGGTTTCACAGATATATTATTATATGATATATATGATTGAACTTTGTTTTACATGTTATTGTACCTGCCTATAGGGTACACCAGTAATCT